CCCCCTAAACATATGTTTAGGGGTACTCTCATTTTCCTACTCATATTGAAATACTGCCCGTCAATGAGGCCAAACTTGGATTCACAAAATGTTTAGGGGTATGCGTACCCCTGCGTACCCCCAGAAAAAAAGCACTGCTCACCTCTATTGATATTTTGGGGAACAATTTCACCGACACTAAAGCCCTCTTTGAGCATTTGTCTGGACATGAAAGCGTTATAAGTGTGGAGCGGGGAACATGGAATTTCCCCTTCCGCACAATGTCTCCATGTGTATAAGCTCTTCTCAGACATTTGTGTGTTGAGTGTGATGGTCTTGGGGGACTTAAGCATGCATTTGAGCAAATGCACTTGGGAGCCTCTGCACAACTGAGAACACTATCTTATCAGGATTCCCCATTGCACAGGGTCTTCAGTTTCATGAGCTTCAGAAAGTTGCACAAGCAGTAAAACTTGGCTTAGTTACAAAGTGATGAAAGCTCCTAAATATTGGACTACAGCTCCCATCATCCCTGACCAACAGCCTTGGTGCCTGGGGTTGATTGGCGTTGTAGTCCAGTGAATCTGAACAGTGCTGTCACCTTGTCTACTCCTGCAATAAAGGCTGTAAAGATATTTATCACACCATCACTTGCCTGCTCTCAGTTGCTTTTGTAGTGACTGGAAATTTGAGATTCGAATATACACAGAAGCAACCACACCCTAAACAGGGTGTGGGGAGGACTTCAATAAATGCAGTCATTTGAAAGGAAGTCAGGACATTGAAATGTTTGCTACCACTGGTTTACTACAAGCTTAGAATGAATGTTGGGATGAGAACTATCATGCACTATAGATGTTCTGGGATTTTTTCATTCCAGAATTCAAGTTGGGGGGGCTCCTAAACCCTTTAAGCATATATGGGGGGCATGCAGGGGTTGACACGGGCAGAACAATGAGGGTAGAGACGCTCCTTCAGGGATACTGGACCGAGGCCGTTTAGGGCTTTAAAGGTCAGCACCAACACTTCGAATTGTGCTCGGAAATGTACTGGGAGCCAATGTAGGTCTTTCAAGACCGGTGTTATGTGGTCTTGATTACCTAGTTCCTTGCAAGGAGCAGGGAAGTGGACTTAGTTAAACCTGGCAGGACAGCTTACTTTGTGGTATTAACCCCTTCATTTGTTAATTAGACTTGAGCATGTTGTTTATAAGATGCTGATTATGCCACATGTTTAGTGCTCAACTCCTGTGACCATCTTCCTATACATATATAATGGTTCCTTGACTATGATAAGTGTACCCCCTAACATCAATTCCCCCCAAACTTGCTTTCCATTTTGCTTCCAAAAATGTTTTGAAAAAGCAATCTCCCTAGGTGATCAAAGTTAAAGCCTGTTTCTATGTCAATTTATGTTCATATCTAAATTTCTCAAAACCCATCGGTTTACTGCCTTCATCAACATTTACATTTTTGTATGGTATGCCCTACCATTATATCGCAGGAGTGTAAAAGATACACATTGTGCTATAAAAGGAAGCCGTAACACTAATAATATCTAAAGCAATGTGAAGGTATATATAGAAAATTATAAATTATGTAATAATCGCTACAATACCATGAAATGTATCTTGCCCCTTGATCTCTCAACCCATGCCTTTTCCTCCTTTCACATAGAACAACAACAAAAACCACAGAAAAAATTTCCCTTGACCAGCTTGCTGTCAGTAAGGGGAAACAAAAAAGAATAGATAAAAAGAAAACTCACAGCTTCCCAACTCCCCCAATCTCCCACAGCACCAGCTTTCAAAGGAATTCCCAGGAAAGCAATTCTTTACAAAGTACCTGAGCTTGACTGACCTGACTTCAGATACTTCTGTAAAGGGGATGGTGGGTGGAGCACCTTTTTCTTTGCTTTAGAACATAGGCTGTTAGCACACTTCTGCATCTGCGAGATGTCACCCACCATTTGGATAAAACAGCAGTACAGAGATGTTCCCACTGGAATCACTGAGGCAAATATTCAAGGCTGAGAAACTGTCTGAATGCTCCTACATGCCAAATTCCATCTCTCCAGCCGCACTCCTCATTTATAGATTTGCAGGCTTCCCATGGGCTTCCACATTGCCTTTTTTTTTTTTTTTGGTAAAAAAGAAATGAGGTGTTGGTAGTCATATCTTGACAAAAGTGCCACAGGTGCCAGCAAATAATGGTTGTCAGGTAGAGGAAAACAAAAGAGGTGATGGCAGTCTGTGCTGGTGATTATCATCACACAAAAAAGGAACTAGGCTTCTGGTTGGCTACTCTGAGAACAGGATGCTAGACTAGATGGACCGTTAAGAACTTAATTCATGGTACCTCGGGTTAAGAACTTAATTCATTCTGGAGGTCCATTCTTAACCTGAAACTGTTCTTAACCTGAGGTACCACTTTAGCTAATGGGGCCTCCCGCTGCCGTTGTGCCGCCAGAGCACGATTTCTGTTCTCATCCTGAAGCAAAGTTCTTAACCCAAGGTACTATTTCTGGGTTAGCGGAGTCTGTAACCTGAAGCGTCTGTAACTCTAGGTACCACTGTAGTAGTCAGTAATATCACCACTGTTTATTTGCTATTGGTCGTTCTATTGCTTTGGAAAGGTGCAAGTCTCATATGCTAAGGATAAAGATACAAGCCTAACTTGTATATTGGTGAAATTTCCTTTGAGTCCAAAACAGGCACTTATTTCTTGAGAGCACTTTGCCCTCCGATAGGAAGCTGCCTGATGCCAGCTTACAATATGTGTCCATCTAGGCCAGTGCTGTCTTCTCTGACTGGCATCAGCTCTCCAGGATTAGAGGCAGAAGTCAATTCTGAATACCTGCTCCCTGCTCCTTTTAACTGGATATGCCAGAGATTGAATCTGGGACCTTCTGCATTTGAAGAACGCCATTTACACCTGCACGATGGTCACCCTTCTCCCTGATCTCCCTTATCAGTTCCTCCTCAGTTCTTCCACACACCATCCAAAGATTCTAGTGCATTTAGGCTACAGTTTATATTTCCTTTTCCCCAGACAGTAAATTGTTTCTTTCTGACAGGTACAGGAGACAGGAGGGGGGAAATCGCATCGCTCACAGTGGCACAGGAAGGCGGTAAGAACACTAAATGCTCTCAAGCATAAGGAGCGTTTATTAGCCTTTGTGGGAAAGAGAATCCTTCTTTCTTGACACCTACCTTGGCAGAGAGGTAGCACTGTGCACACATAGCCTCAAGAAGAGGCTTCTCTGTGAGCGGAGTCTTTTTATTCTGCTTTCCAGTTCTTTACTGTTTAACTGATTGCAGAGCTTGCCTCTTGACTTCATTTAAAGCCAAACTGATAGTCTTAATACTGAATTGTTTTTCAGTTTGAAACCAGTGGGCTAATTGCTCCAGTAATAAATCCAGTACAATGACGACAATTATCCATGTGCAAAATGAGCTTGCCATTGTGAACTCATATGTGTAAATGGTGTGTGACATCAATTAACAATTTAACATAACAAGCCTGGACAAAGGAACAGAGACTAATTGAAAAGTAGAAAAGCAAGCAACATGTCATTGCTTAGTGGCGCTGAAATAATGGCCAGAAAAATCCAACTCATTCATGGTAAGCCTGATGTTTAGATAAGAATTAGTCAAGGACGACATAAGCCATTACCTAAAAGCTAATCTTTTTTTTCAGGCCACGGACCTCACTGACCTATGATCAGCCACCAGGGCAACATGGAAAAGTGGGTGTGGCTAAGGTGGAACTTCCTTCCCGAGCAGCTCTGTAAACAGAGCAACCAGAAATTGAAAGGTCCTTGAACAGAGTACTAAAAAGAAGATGGGGGGAGTGTTAGAAGCACCCAGAAATGGAAATTGCCTTAAAAAATACCAGAGGGCACTTGGAGAAGCCCAATAAAGTAAACAAATATGCAAAACAGAAAAGAACAAAAACTGCAAAGCAAAGCAAAGATACACCCCACACATCTGTTTTGTTGTTGAATTGGCAGAGGATCCCCAAGGGCCCCCAAGGCATCTCAGTGGGCATATATACTCTGTGGGTCACTAGATAGCCACCCTGGTTGGTTGGTTGGTTGGTTGGTTGGTTGGTTCAAAAGAATTCCTATACTGTTTGACTGTAATAAAACTCTCAGCTGTTGACAATAAATATTTAAATTATCAATAAAAGCAATTAAAAACAGTTTAAAATAATTTAAATTATCGGTAACCCGTGGTACCCTGGAGCAGAGGATGGATTGGGTAGTCTTTTGAATGGGATATATTGTCTTCTTGGAATCACCTGCACCACAAGCATGAGTGCATGCTTTAACATAATTGCCCTCGACAGTAATTCTTTGCATGTGCTTTCCATCTGAACTCACTATTTTTCTCCACATCAGCATGCATATGCACCTGCCAGCAAAGGCTGACACTTCATGCATCTCATGAACTCTAGTCTAGAAAGCTTTGGGCCATAATTTTGTGTGAGGAGAATCAGAACTTACAGGGTTAAACAGTTCTGTGTGACGTCTCACATTCTGAGGCGTGGTTATGTTCACATACGGGAATTTTTCTTTGTGTGTGAGTTACTTTCGTTTTGGGCTGAGAGACGAAAGAAATGCCTGCTCTCTCGCCGGGAGAGATTTATGATGTTTTTCTTCTCATTAAAGGCTGTTAGAGATTAGCAAGAATCCTGCGAACAGTCTGATTTATTATCCACACACAAGGCAACACTTTCTGCCGCTGCAGAACTGCTAAGAGCTCAAGTTTTTTCTATCGGCACAGGCGTCCATCGGCACAGGGGAAGTGTGCCGGGTGCCATCTTATCTCAGCAGGTCATGGGAACCAGCCAAGCTTTGGAAGCTGTTGCCACGTCGTGCCTGTGTGGGGGGGAGAAGCCAGCTGGAGCTCCTGCCTAACGTTTGAGGCAGCGAAGCTTGCTGGGGAGGATCTCATCTTCGGGACCGGGTGCCAAGAGGAGCTGCTGGTTACGTGAGTAGGCTCAGCCCCGGGGGAGAAGATGGCAGATGGACAGGAGTCATACTCAGTCCCCTTTGAAAAATTGAATGGGAGCAACTGGGAGGAGTGGTCAAGGAAGCTGAAGGCCTGGCTGGTAGCCAAGGGTCTGTGGGAGGCGACCCAAGGGCCCCCACAGCAAGCTCCAGCCGGAGCTGCAGCAGCGGTTGTTGCAGCTGCCCATGCCTCACAGAGGAAAGACCAGAAAGCCCTAGGGGCTATAGTGCTCAGTTTGGAGGGCTCACAGCTACCTTTGGTGGAGGGTCTTGAGACTGCCCAGGAGGTCTACCAGGCACTAGAGAGAGTGCACCACAGGACCACAGCTGGGGCAAAGATCCACACCACCGGAAGCTTGTTTGAGCTGAAGCTGCGTCCTGGTGATAGCATCAGACAGCATGTGACTAAGATGCTCTCTGTTTTCAACAAGCTGAGACTGTTTGCAAGTCAACTTTACGGAGGAATTGAAAGTTTATATTTTGCTCAGCTCTCTGGACAAAAGTTAGGACAATTTGTGTCTAACTTTGGAATCGATGAATACAGCGGATCTTACGCTCCAGTATGTGACTGGTCGTTTGTGTGACGAGGAGGAACGCCGTCTCAGAGAGGGCCGAGCTGGCTCAGGGTGCCCTGCCAGTAGCAGAGGAGGGGCCAAGCCAGAAGGCACAGTTCAGGCTTTTTCCACTCCTCGTTGTTTTTTCTGCGGGTCTGTTGAACACCTGCGTCGGTCCTGTCCGAGGAGAGCCAGAGAGGCCGCGCAGGATGTCTCCAAGGTCACTTCCCATGGCAGTCAGCCAAGTCCTCGTGGCAGCCAGCCAGGTTTCCATGGCAGCCAGTCTAGGAGAGGAGGCCAGCGTGGGAATGCGAAGGGAGGACGTGACAGAGGAAGTGAGAAGGACGGTTTTTCTTATCACCTAGCTGCCTCTATGGCAACGCTGAAGGACAACTCCAGTGAGGGCAGCATGCTGCATTGGGTCATCGACTCAGGAGCCAGCCATCACCTGATGCCATCTTGTGGCGAAATGTGGAACTGCAGGGCTGTTTCAACTGGGAAAACAGTCTCTCTTGCTGATGGGTCACAGAGACAATTAACCACTGTTGGCAATGTGTTTGTTTCTTTTTTACAGGCAGAGCTGGAAGTCTACATTGTGCCAGGAATGAAGTGTTGCCTTTTATCTGTGTCTGCTCTTGTAAAGGAGGGTTATAAGGTTTGCTTTGAAAATGATGTCTGTTCTATTTCCAGGGGTGGGAAACAACTGGTCAATGTTGCATGTCAGAACAACCTCTTTGTTCTGGAGACACCTCTGGAGGGTAAGGGGGACGCTGAGACAGCACAGGCGCAGTGTGCTAACGTTCCCACACATGATTCGTGTGCTCACTTGTGGCACAGGAGAATGTCGCATAGCTGCTGGAAATATATCCAGAAGTTGCCAGAATGCACTGAGGGTTGCAAGATGAAAGCATGTGATAAGTTCTTGGATTGTAGGGCATGCAAGAGGGCAAAGATAAAAAGGTGCAGTTATCCCAGATCGGAGAGGGTAACCACAAGGCCTTTTGAGCTTGTGCATACAGACCTTTGTGGACCCACGCCAGTGCCGAGTCTGGGCAGAGCCAGGTATGCGCTCATGCTGACAGATGATTTTTCGAGGAACGGCTGGATCTTCTCGCTGAAACACAAAAGTGAGGTGGCACAACTGATCAAAGACTGGGTTACGGCGGTGGAACTACAGTTTTCCACCAAGGTGCAGAGCTTTCAGAGTGACCGAGGCGGAGAGTTCACCGGGTCTGCTCTGCAGAGTTTCTTCCGCCAGAAGGGGATAAGTCACAGGTTGACGGTTGCATTTTCTCCTCAGGAGAATGGCGTAGCAGAGCGCAGGAACAGAACGCTAGCAGAGGCAGCTGACGCTCTACTGTTTGACGCTGGTTTGCCTCAGCGCTTTTGGGCCGAAGTTTGGAAAGCTGCCAGCTTCATGTTGAACAGGTCCTATAGCTCTGTTGTAGGGGACACGCCCTATTTTCTGCTGCACGGCAAGAAGCCCAAGGTGCATTTCTTCTGTGTTTGGTTGCGAAGCTTGGGTGCTTGTGCCAAAGGCTCAACGCAAGAAAGGTGACCCGAGGTCCTGGAAAATGATCTTTTGTGGGTACGAGCCTGGGACAAAAGGGTGGAGGTTTGCCTATCCCAAAGGCGATCAGTCCAGGATTCTAGTCAGCAGAAGTGCTGAGTTCTGTGAGCAGAGTGGGTGGTCAAGGATCCATGCGAATCCTGACATTCTCTCAGAGTGTCTGTCTGATTCTGCTGAGGAGGGAGAGTTAGAAGCTGAACCTGTTGATGAGGATCAGGTCTCTGACCAGGGTCAAGAACAGGGAGGGGCATCTCCACAGGTTGTTAAAAGAGAGCCCAAAAGTGAGCCTTCGTCTCCCGTTAGTCAAGTGGAGAAGGCCAGAAGACGCAGTAAGTCGGAGGGGGAGTCTTCTGATAACAAGGACACACTTGCTGGCCCCAGTGGGTCAGAGGGAGCACCTGAGACAGTGCTCAGACGTTTCACACGCACTACAAAGGGGGTACCACCTGAGAGGTTTGAGGTCACCAGCGTGTGGGTTGGTTAAGCACAGTGCGAACCAGAGAGTTTTGAGGAGGTTCAACAGTTGCCTGAAGCGGAAGCCAGGAAGTGGCAAGAGGCAATGGGAAAGGAGTTAAACTCAATGAGGTCCTTAGGTGTGTTCTCCACCACGAAGCTGCCAGAGGGCAAGCAGGCCATGAGCTGTCGTTGGGTTTACAGGATTAAGCCCACAGCGTCTGGAGAACCTCAGTACAAGGCGAGGCTTGTAGCCAGAGGGTTCACGCAGAGAAGGGGGCTGCATTACACCGAAGTGTATGCTCCTACTTCCCAGAGTGAGACTCTATGCATGCTTTTAGCAGTAGCTGCTCAAAGAGGGCACCAAGTGCACCATTTTGATGTGGATGTGGCTTATTTGAACTCGGATCTGAAGGAGGATCTGTACATGCTACCTCCTCCAGGGTTTGAGGGCAATGAGCCAGGTGTTGTGTGGAAGCTGCACAAGTCAATTTATGGTTTGAAACAGCCAGCCAGAAATTGGAACATGTGCCTGAATGAAGCTCTGGAAAGTTTGGGTTTCCAGAAGAGTCTTGCAGACAGTTGCCTGTACCTGAAGGGGTCAGGAGAGACACAGGAAACGATTCTGGTGTTCGTAGATGATATTCTGTACGTGGCACAGACAGGTAGACAGGTGCAAGGTTTTGCCAAAGAGCTTGGTAAGAAGTTTAAGCTCAAAAACCTTGGTCCCGTTCAAGTTTATCTAGGCGTTAGGATAGACAGGTCTGAGAACGGGAGTTTCTTGCTCAGCTGGAAAGGCAAGATTGAGCAGTTGCTTGAGAAGTTCCGGATGTCTGACTGTGCAGGGGTCAGAATGCCCATGGAGACCAACTTCGTGAAAGATAGTCAGCTTGGGGAGCGTTCTGAGTTCCAAAACCCTGAGGTGTTTCAGTCAGCGCTAGGGAGTCTGTTGTATCTCTCTCAGTGGAGCAGACCAGACATAGCGTTTGCTGTGAATCTGCTCAGCAGGGAGGCTACAAAGCCCAGTGTGAATGCCTGGCAAGGCATCAAGAGAGTGTTGAGGTATTTGCAGGATACCAAAGATTTTTGCCTCACGTTGTCAGCTGAAGGTGACGCAAGGCTTACGTGCTGGAGTGACAGCAATTGGGCTTCTCTTGGGGACAGGAAGTCTGTGTCTGGGCTGGTGGTAAAGTTCGGGGAATCCCTGGTTGGGTGGAAGTCCCGGAAGCAAATCGGCACAGGCGTCCATCGGCACAGGGGAAGTGTGCCGGGCGCCATCTTATCTCCGCATTTTGTTCAGTCTTGAAGGTAACTCAAGACATTCTTGCTCTCTGCAGAAGTATTAGAAGTTATTGAGTTAGCTGGGCCAATGATTCTGAACAGGCTAGTGTGTGACACTTTGTCCCTCCAGCTTGTTATATATTTTTGTTATGGTCCTAGGAGCTGGATATGTTTCCCACCTCTTATTTTTAAAATTGCAATCAAAGTGGGACCTGTCATAAGAATAAACATGTTAGTTTCTTACCCTGACTGGCAGCTTTTCTCTTCTCCCATCTTCTGTCTGTAACCTTTCCTGGAGCCAGAACCATTTCCCATGACCTTTCCGCCTTAGCTCCATGCTACTGTGGCAAGGTGTTTTATCTCACACCTCTCAAGTAATGTTAATGTAGAACGGAGGGCACAGAGAGCACTTGCTGGAACTAAGAGATGACATGATCTAATGAGCAAGAAGCAGCCTGACAGTTGTTCTAATGTTATTGATCATTCCTCTGCTTGGGCAGCTGAACACCATCCTTTGCAGAGGAGTAAAGATACATTTCGAAGCATTAGTTGGAGGAAAACCTCTGGGCAATGAAAGCTGGTAGCAACCAACAGTGGAAAGTCAGCTCTGCCCATTTAAGAATTGAGTCCCTCAGGATTCTTCTCCTTTTCCTTCTTCTCCATTGAATCAGAGGTGAAGCCTCACTGTGGAGATCCTTGGGTTTCCAGCATGGCGGCCGGCAGCATGAAACTGGGTTGTATCCAGATTAATTTAGTCATGCTTAATCTGGATACAGCCCAGGTTCAGGTTTCAAGTTAGTCATGCCTAGACCCCCGTTGAAACCAATGTGGAAAGTTAATTGCGACTTACTCAATAGGACCTAAATGAGATGGACTTAATCTGGATCCAGCCCACAATTTACAAAATAATCCAAAGAGGAGGAATAACACATGATATATATGGGGATGGTGCTACTGTTACACAGCAGATGCTGGGGAGTGGCAGTAAGACGTTGCAAGAAAGAGTTATATGGGCTACTCCCTCAGGTGTTCTGTCCTTTTATCAGTGTTAGATTCATCTGCTGGCCCAATTGCTTTCTATATATTGAATGGTAGGGACACCATCTTGGCCTTTGCCTGAGGCAACAAAATGTTGTGGGCTGGCCCTGGTGATGATGGCCAGCTTAAAAATCTCAAAGCAATGAAGCAGATTCAAGTTTTGCAGAACCTGAACATTCAACAAAAAGAGATGGGCTAGGAAAGAGGATGTTTTTGCTAGAAATCATGGTGGATGTTCTTTACAAGCCACATCTATTTCTTTTTCTTTGTTTTCTTGTTTTGTTCTTTTCAACATAAATACTATGGAACAGTTTTATGAAACTTGACAGCTAGCTCACTGCTTTGCAATTGTTGGTCCCTGTTTGGATTATTTTATAAGTGATGTTTCTATTTTAGTTTCAGATTAGTTTTTAGAAATCCATGGATCACCACAGCAAGACTTACTCATCACTGCTGCTTCAGTGGGGTACCAGGAAAAGGAGACCTCTGAGGAACTTGACACTATAAATGCAGAGTTTGTATCAAGTTGGTTGCCTACATTGTTTTACAGGCTTCTCAAATGTGGTGTGTAATATACATACCATGGTAGAATCTAATGCAACAGGGGAATATACTAAGGTAGTGTCAATTAAATGGGTGATTCCATTGGACCTTCCCCCTGGCAGTTAAGACCCACTCTGTTGGGCCC